AGATTGTAGAGAATAAAATAGAAGAACGCAGTCAAATCATCTTGCATTTTCATTGAAAATCTTTCTGCCCTTTCATTTGGATTTTATTTAATCAATGCTTTTTTTCACATTTGGGCTTTGGATACTAAAGTTTAGAACCAGGTTCAATAACTGGTGCCTGTACCAGCTGCTAAGGCTTCCTACTCAACCTGTATTGCTAATCTGATACCTGTTTCAGGCATAGAGAGAACATTTTGGGGTGAGAGAGATTCTCCCTTTTGTAAAGGCTGGTAGGAAAGGCTGTAGTTAAAATTACTTGAGCTGATGAGTAGCTCCATCGATACCCATTTTACATTTTGTTTTTGAATAGCCTCTGAGGCAAAAATGAGAGAAAAAACCCGCGAAAGTTTTGTTGTTAAAGGAGTTTTTGGTTTGTGGGTTTTGTCTCCTTGTCTTTCCATTTGTTGTCCCATAACATATAGTTATGTTATAATTAATTATTTTTAATATGAAATTATAATTTATTATAAATAAATTATTTATTTTGAAGGTTCTTGCTTCATCCTTCATTAGACATTTTTGATGTTTGTTTACATAAACATTTGCATAAATCCCAGTTCAAAAGAATACTTAGTTGAGGGAATTGTTAGAGAAATGGCTGCCAGTTGACATCCTGTCACTGCAAGGCTGGAGAGGCTGGCATACACCTTACATTTTTCCCTTTCTGCCTGTTGTGTATAGACAGCTGAGTTGGCCAGAAACTGCACTTCATGTAGCAGAGAGTGAAAGACTGGGCCAGATATTCTAGACAGCCTGAGTGTTACTGACTTCTTATTAATTATTTAGCATGATTTTGCTCAGTCACTGTGATCATTCTTCATCCAAAAAACCAGGAAGTTGTACAAATCTTACTGATCCCTAGAAGCACCATAACATCCCTGTGCATATAAACAAACAATAGGGGAAAATAAAGTTAATACGTAGTTTTCCAACGTTGGCGTAGGTTCTGTCTTGTCAAAGTCTATCACCAAGTATACTCAGAAACTTACTAATGACTGATATTTTTTCATTTTCAATTAAAAGAGTAAAATTATAAATTTTTTTAAGCAATAGCATTTCATTTTCATAATTGCTTCATTCCTGCTTATTCTCCATTTCAAAAAGTATATGAAGGGATATCAGAGGGGCCACAGGTTTTGGGGGATGAGAAAGAAGAGATATTTTTTCGCCTCTCAACTGAAAAAAATTAAGAAACACTATGTTTGGGTTTTGTGCATGTATTCCAGAGCCAGGAGAACATTCTGTTATCACTGAGGTAATGGTGGGAGTGTTCAGGGACAGACAACAGGCATTTCTTCTCTGTACGCTAGTTAAATCTATGAATTTGATAGTATGAGAAACACAGCACTTGTTTTATTAATTTCATATTTTATAGTATGTTACTGATGTATTCTTCAGACAATGGCAGCTTTGCCTAATACATGGAGCAAAAGTAAAGGATTTTATATAGACCTAGATAATAATTCCCCAATAACAGTTTAATTTGCAACTAAGGCAGTTGAAAGCCCTAATGCTTGACAGATGAAACAAAGGAAGAATGAGAGAGAGAATGTTCATCAATGCCTTTTAAAGGATAACAAACTAATATGTTTGTGTTCAGTTTTCAAAGCTCAGGATGATGAGAGGAGATATACAGCTGTTAGCTAGTAATGTATTTATGTGTTATGTATGTCTTTGTCATGAATGACATCATAAAAGATATAAAATAAATCTTTGGATGTACTTGTGATAAAACAATGCTAAAGCATGTATCATTCTGTCAAGATTATTTGCCCATTCATTCAAGGTAGGGTAAAAGATCTGGTTCTTAAATGTGTAATTAAGCATCTAAATTCATGCCACGGTTTGGGTTTGTCTTTTTTTTAGCTTTTGCAAATCATGTTGCATGTCTGAATTTGACAATGTAAAGACAGAGTGAGAGAGAGAGATATAGAAGATATCTGTTTTACAGGCAATGTGCTTGAAAACTAGAAAACTATCTTTCAGAAATATACACCACCTAAAACAGGGCTTTATCTAATAATGGTTGATAATGAAATGTTGTACAGATCTCTAAATCAAAATGTTCACAGTGATCTTACCTCACTGAATTCAGTGTTTGTTTCTTGGTTATTTTAAAGCAAGGTAATGATGAACAAAAAGCTGAGCATTTACATCTTTTGACACAGTAAGACCACTTGCTGACAAAATCATTCAAGTTCCATTTGAGATTACATTTTAGCCACTGCAGTCCTTTCTCAGAGTTCTCTCCTCTATCTTCTTGGTGTCAGTGCTCCAATGGCTGTACTGCCACATCGGTGGTATAATGCAAAGGTCGGAAGGAATCTTAGCAGTAAAATGACAGCGGTGCTTCAGACAGGAGAGAAAAAATCTAGAGAAAAGTACTGTGACATTAATTATTCTCAATCAAGCAGGGTTTCTCCAGATGGAAGCTTAACAGTCTTGGTGTCTTGAAATCCCTTAGGCCAATAATAGGCATGAGCCAATGCTTTGATTCTCACATTCACACTGAATGTAGCAACCCTGATGTTCATTGCTAGGCACCTTACCCTTCCCTGGGAGAGGCAGTTTATGACTTTTTCTGTCTCTTATATATTTAATAATTTATTTAACAATTTATTAACAATTTATTTACATTAGAATAGTTCCAGATGGAAGGACCTACAATGATCACTTAGTCCAACTGCCTGACCAATTCAGGGCTGACCAAGTTAAAGTACATTAAGGGCATTATTCAAATGCCTCAAACACCAGTGTTTGACCACTTTCTCAGTAAAGAAATGCTTCCTAAAATCTAGTTTCACTTAAAAGAAAATGAAAGCCTTATGCCAGTCGTCTAAAATAAGGAACATTCTAGTGTTGACTAGTTGTCAGCAAAGTACTGTCTTTGGTTTAATTATGAGAAGGTGTTTAACAACTGAAGCAGTATTAAATCAAGCAGTCATTTTCCTTAGAAAATAATCTAGTGAAGTAAAGGTATATTGCAAGTGTATACTGTCTGTGCCTATAGCGCTGGACAGCTACTTTTCTAATACAGCTGAAGAAAAGCTATAGAGACTAAACAGTATAGAAACATACAGTCAGAATAGTTTGGGTTGGAAGGGACCTTTAAAGGTGATGTACTACAAACGTCCTGTGCTAAGCAGGGACGTCTTCAACTAGATCAGGTTGCTCATCATGGCTTGATCATCTTGACTTCCTTGGGAAAATGCTAGAGTAATATTTTTGAACACCAATATCCTAAGGTGTATTATTCTACCTGTATTGGACTAGAATTGTGATATTAATTCCCATAAATAGACAAACTTAATATGTTGTGTTGTGCTTTGGAGTTTGAGGTAAAACTTCTGGATAAAGCTTGTTCAGTATATTTATCCCCCCTTCATGCGCACTCACACGTGTATGCAAACACCTCATCTCCCAAAGTACATCAGCTTCACATTGCAAGGAAGTGATTCCCACTGTACATTGCAGTGATTCCCACTGCACACAATTCATATCTTCAGCTCTCCATTTGCAGATAGTGCTCTACAAAGAGCATGGTAGATAAAGATATTTTGTGCTGCTTTCAACAGCATCATGTTTATCTTGTGGCATTTTCAGGCACAGAAGCATGTAAAGGTAGAGATGGATTCTCCCAAGTTGGTGCACTACAGTCCATTGACAAACCAGAGGGGTAAGATATTACAGAAATATCTACTGTAAGATATTAGGGACTTGCTCTGTAGTAAGTTAGTCATCAAACATTTGTTCTCTTGCAATAACAGATCTGTGTATTATCAAGCTGTGATGCTATAGGTGCTGTCTTATCACAAAAGAATTCATAAGATTTTCCATTTATTTGTATATATGCAAGTGTGTTCCTACAAAGTTATTGAAAAGAAGGTTTTAGCAGACAAATTGTAATTTAAATTTTGACACATATAAATAACGTATAGGAATATTTATATAAAATAAATAAAATGTAATAAATTATACAAAAAAATTTTAAATGGGTCAGAAGAATGTTGTAAGGTGGTATAGATTTCATTTTTCAGAAATGTCAGCTTGGAACTCTGAGATACTTGTGCTGGGAGAAGTGTAGGAGCAGCAGGCACCAGCTAGGGCTAATAAAAGGGAAAGGGAAAAGGAGCTGACAAGTAAAGGAAATTATTCTTCTTGAAGTATCTCTTGATTTTCATTAGAAGAAAATAATTGGCAATGAGAGTAGTAGAAATGATAGGAGGAAGAAAGCTAAATAATTACAAGCAGGTAAGGATTTTTTGGAGAGGTTTTACTGACTAGAATACCTTCTTTATTGAATAGTCCTTGGTGAAATCTGGGGAATATAAATTCAGCAACTTTTAGTGTTTAAGCAAAAACTCCAAAAGAGAAGATGTGGGTATTATTTCTGCTATTAAAGACTTGAACATTTTTCTTCAATTTAGCAAATCATAGTCAGAATCCTTTTTTCTTTATGAATAATCTATCAGTTTTCCATAGTTTGAGTATTCCACCACAAAGAGACAGGCAGAATTTCTTGTTGTCTTATTTCTTAGTGGCAGGTGTCTGGTGTTCTAAAATGGCCTGGTGTTTTAGGTCAGATCATGACCTGTTTGGAGAGATGTGGAGAAGAGGGGTAAATTCCTGGAAAAGTTTTTCTCAGAGCAACAGGGTGAACAAGCTGTGAGCATGGGAGAGTTTGGAAGGATATACTATCTGAAGAGACTGCCTTGTTCCATGGAAAGTTGTGCTGATTCCCTAGGGTGTTTTAAGTTTCATGGTGCAGCAGTAAGCACAGGTACTTCTGGAATAATGCCAGGGCATCATTAAATCAGTTAATAAGTCTGACTAACCTCTCCCTCCAGTGTGTTCCACTGAGAACACAACCATTAGTTCAGAGATGTCCCTTCTTAGGTCAGTTGTGACATCACCTGATGTAATAACACTGCTTGCAGTTGTACACATGCCCAGGTCTAGGTTTCTCTGACCTTGGCTGTCCTGCACAGTGTCACAGGCTGTCTGAGGACCTGCAGAAGTTTTAAGAGGAAGAACTTGGAGTAGAGTTAAATACAAGTAAAGGGAACTGCAGGGAGTAAGTGTGAGTCTTCTAAATAACAAAATGGTTATAAGCCTTTTCTTTCCTCTGCATAAACTTGCTCACGAACACATATATGCCTTGTGGGAATGGAAGCAAACTCCATCTCTTCAAAGTTATTATCACTAAATTTTTTACACAAAGATACTTTCTTCTACACTTTGTGTAGAAAATTCTGAGACTGTAGTACAAGGCACCCAAAATCAGCCCTTGCTGTAGAAAGTAGACCTTTTTATCCAAGTCTTCCAAATTTCATAACTGAATAGTTGAAGATGGAACATATTGGGAACCACAGAAGTCTATCTTGAGAAATTCTGTTGTCATCCTGGACTATGTACTTCTTCCCTTGCATCTTCAGTGGCTCTTAAAAGAAGATGAAAAAATTGTGTGGGGACAAATAAACAGCTATACGCATGGAAAATCCAGATATAATTGTAGATGCACTCTGCAAGCATAATGTGCTGCTGATGGGAATATGATGGTGTCAGTTCTCAAGAAAGGGCATTTTTTGATGCTTTGGGAAACAATGTGAAAAATGCACAAGAACCAGTGTTAGAGGCTAGTTTTTTGGCAGCTGTAATTTGCAATTCAAAGTGTTTGGAGTGGAGATTTCTTGGCCAAACTAAATAATGGAAAAGAAGCACAGTAAAAACAATCAATAAATTCAGTAAGAGCAGAGAGAGGCACACATAATTAGTGCATGTCTACCATGTGCACTTGACTGCATACACGGCTGAAGCTGACACAAGAGATTTTGGGGAGCAGTCTGGTGTCAGGCATCCTGTTAATTTCCTTAGATTAATTCTTTCACCTTCTACACCTTCATTGACCATATCATCTGCTCCATCTGGCAAAGTCTGCACTGCTGATTGTAGAAACCCTGAGCATGCTTTTGTTTTGCATTTCCCTTTGTACTTCACAGTTTATCTAATGGCTCACTGTCAAATGCTAAACCTAGAGGCAGAAAAATATGGATATTAACATGACATAGACTGTGAAAACGGAAATCCATCACTGCTGTGTGGAATCTACATTAACATGTTCAAAAGAATATGATAAATATTCTATGAATCTAGGAAAGGATTGCTTTTTTTTCATTTCTGTGTATATTTTGTCCCCATTGTTGTCTATAGAAATTTTGTCTGTGGATCTGAGAAAGAATATGCCAGAACTTTACTGGCTAAATTATGCAACTGATAATCCTGTTGAAAACCTAAAGTTTTAAAGTTAACACTCATCACCCATCTTGAGTTGTAGACCAAGACATATGTGTCCATGAATGGAATTTTAATGGCAAAAGAGTTTTACAGAAGTATCATCTCTCTAATCCAATGTTAGATACACTTCAGATTGCTTCTGGTCCGACGATTCCCAAGGGAGCCTTTATGTGGCCACAAATTGCACAGCACCTGATTCAGAAAGGCAACTGTGGGTCTCAAAGGCAAGAAGCAGTCACATGGCTAATGCTGCATCATGGCATGCTGGGGACTAGTCTGGTTTGGGTGGCCCACTGTGCTTTGTGTAACCCAGCAAGCCTGGTCTCAGCAGCTCCCTCTTGACATTCTCAGTTGTTTTTATGACTGATTGCTTCTATTGCCAACCATATACCAGGAAGATACTTGCTTTGTGATCAGCACAAGAGAACTGCTTAGTTGGGAAGCTACAAGTCAACCATCTTTGCTGTGTGCTCTGTTAAAGCACTTGTTGAAATGACAGTGAGTAACAGGGCTGAAGCATTGCAATATGAATTCTTACTTCTAATATTGCAAAATGCAAAAGGACAATAGTGTTGTAATCCTATAGCATACCTTATTTTTGTATCTTATTTGTTATTATTGTGTTGTATAAAATGGGACAAAGTTTATTTTAAAGTTATTATCACATTTTGCACTCAGATCTTTTCAATGCAGAAGATAAAAATAATGCATTTTATTGTTGTATAATTAGCCAGAGTGTTTGGTAGAGATTGCTAAATCCGTCACGGACTGTTTTCCACCTACTGCTTAGCTAGATTATGGGAATTTCTTGCATAACACAGCATAGAATGTTATCAAGGAAACACCTGACCTAAAACTGAGGCCCTACTTTCTTGCTTTAGAACGGTGTGTGACTATTCTTTAAGACAGAGAATAAGCCAGGCTGCTGTAGTTTGTTTTTAGCTTGTAGATGAGTCTTACTCTGACCTCAGTCCTTGTGAGCATCTTAGTAGATCCATTGCTTTCATTAGGCTTTCTTATCTGAATAGCAATTATTTCCATGAATAAGCATTTGTGGTCGTGAGCTCTTAATCAGTTGTGCAATTGCCAAGTCTTAATAATGCACAGCGTGTTCTGCATGCAGTTACTCTGCCATTTGCCCTCAGCATCACCATGAAAGTCCTCCATTGCAAGTGGGTGACCATGTCCTGACTTCCATGATTTCATTTACCCTATTTACCTTTCCAGCGTTTTCTAAAGTGATGCTTAATCATAACAAACATTTGTTGAAGCCTTCCCTAAATTGAAAGGACTGCATGGAGATATTAATTGACGAAGAACAGCAAAACTGGCCTTTGGCTTTCTCCAGCCTCATGTGGGAGTCATGTCACTGAATCCTTTCTGTTTCCTGTTTCCTCTGATTGCCTTGGCTGGATGGAAATTTTGAATGAGTTTAATCTGTGGACAGTAACAAGTCCAAATGCAAATTGAAAGTTTCTGGTCTGCACTCATGTCTGGCCTGCTGACTGCTCAGCTTCTTCCTTCAGTATTGCTCTCTGTGGAATTGTGTCACTCACAGTTCATCAGTAAGTATATGGGATGATCGATAGTGTTACTTGTGGCTTTTGTAATTATATGAAGACTCATTCAGGAGTAGGGATAGGTCAGATCTCTCAAACAGATGTATTTGAGCTATGAGACTACTATAATTCTGTGATATGTTAAAGGCAGTAGGAGAATATTTAATTAGCGAATCTAGTAACTCCAAACTTTGATTACAATTAAGAACGTGCAATGCGTGATTGTCCACAGTATGAAATCTTATTGCTCCAGTTGTGATAAGTGCAGGGAAATATGGCCTAATAAAAGAAGATTACTTTCTTGTCTACACTGGAAGAAAGGAGACTCTTGTTTCCTCCATTGTAACTCCAGGGCTATTTGTGTTCTTACATTATCAGCAGTTTGCCATGGCTCTGACTTACTTACAAAAGAATCGCTAGAATTTAGTAATCTTGCTTTGATTTTACCTCCTTTGTATTTGTAGTAGCCTTGACTTTTTGCATTTTTTATTTGAAGAGGAGTGAAATTATCTGAAGGTGCTGAGAGAAAAGGCGAGTAAAAATGCTGCCATTTGTATGTCTTCAACTCCTTGCACAAGATGCTGCTCTCCATTGAGGCAAACATCAAACCTTTGTCGCACTGCACTGTGAGGCAGTGAGGGGGAGGTGAGCGTGTCTTCAAAAGCAATGCTGTAAAGACAGTTGAATTACTTTTCTCTCCTTTGTTTTTTTTTAATAATTCTGCTCTCTACCTGATTAACTAGACAATTTAGACTCAGTAAGGTGGAGATTTTTAACATATATTCTTACTTTGTTCACAGATCTCCACTCTGATTGCTTTCCCTGTGCACTGTAAAACTGAGATCCTGACACTGGTCCTGACTCTTGTAGAGTCGGGGTGGAAGGGAAATGTCATCTTCTTCTTTCACCAAAGTTGTGATAATTCAGTTCTGTAGCTCTCACACATTCTTGTCCTTTGTTCTCTACCTAAAACATAGGCTGTACAGGATTCTATCATGTGGGAATTTGTTATACACATTATTACTAGAGATCTGTTGGAGGCACGTCTGTTACTTTTATATACAAGACAATCTCTCCAGTCAAAACAGGATGTGCTCCTTCTATCCATTTCTTGCCCCCAAGTCTGGCTACCTAGCTACAGTCCCTCTTGTGCATTGGCTTTTGACAGATGATTTGACTCTTAAAGTGAGAAAAAAAATCCAAAAAAGTCCCTTGCAGCTTGGTGAGGTGATTTGGCTGACCAAGTGTTCAGGCTAAAGTTAAGAGTCAGCACAGGGCAACAGGGCAGGACCGTATGACCAGGAGGAGAAGAGAGAGAAGGGATTGCTCTGGTAACAGAGAACCTGAGGGCTCTGTTCCGTGGTCTTGTCAGGTCAGGCTCTGGGCCATGGAAGTTTCTACTGCCTGTCATCTAGCTCTGGAAACAACATAAGAGAGGTCCTATATTAAATAGTGTACCAGCTTTGTGTACTCACTGAAGATGAGTTTTGCCTCATAACTCATGTAACTGTGTAAATAAAGCATACTCAAGGATTAAGTAAGTTTGCATTGGCATTTCCTACCTTTCAAGAACCGTTCCTTATGAAGGTTTATTGGCACAGAGCATTTCTGGAAGAAAAAGGACAAGAAGGATAAGGTGAGAAGAGGCTGAGGGGCCTGGGACTGTTAAACCCTAAGGAAAAATGGTGAGGGAGGACCTCACGGCTGTCTGCAGCTAAAAATAAAAGGTGATAGGACAAGTAGAAATGGACACAAGTTGCAACAAAAGAAATCTAGTTAGATTTTAGGGAAAAAAAATTGCAAGATCGGTCGTGGTTTGAGGAAGGGGTTGGACCACATGACCCTCAGAGATAATTAATCTCTGAATAATGATCCTAAGATTTTTTTGATATGTCGTGTACTGATGACCTGTTATATCTCTCTGATAAATCACGCTGGCTCCTATTTGTTTGCTTTAAAGACATAATTCTTTTTAGTCTCTTATCCTTTCTGCTGATTTTGGTGATTGTTATTTGTCTTTTTAAAATAAGTAAAAAAAAAAGCAAACTTGGTTTGTCCTGCAGTATCAATCCCGTAATTCTGTCTTCATAGAATCATAGAATCATAGAATCATAGAATCATAGAATCAACCGGGTTGGAAAAGACTTCCAAGATTATAGATCCAACCCTTGATCCAACACCGCCATGGTTACCAGACCATGGCACTAAGTGCCACATCCAGTCTCAT